AGCCTTCCCGCCTTCGCGGGTAACAAGTATGGCCTAGTGAAAATTTTTGTGGGGAAAATTTTCTCGGGAATCACGGAATCAAGGGAGCTGAGATTTTAGGTGTTTCTTTCTTGCTCACGCCCGACCCCTCAAATTTAAATTCGGCCTTCCCGTGGCCTACGGGTAACACGTATGGCCCCGCAAAATTTTTGGAGAGGGAATTATTATCTCGGGAACTACGGGATCTAGCGAACTGCAGTTTTAGAGTAATGGTTTCCTACTCATGTATGACCTCGCAAATTCAAATTCAGCGCCTCCGCGTTCTCGGCTGTCACCTACGACTCCGTGAAAATTTTGACGAGGTAATTATTATTTCGGGAACCATAAAAGCCGGAAAGCTGGAATTTTGCGATTATGTCCCATTTTCACATAAAACCCCGCACATTTAAACTTAGCCTTTTCGCGTGCTCGGGTATCGCTTCAGACCCGCGAAATTTTCGGCGGGAAAAATTGTTATCACGGGAACCACAAACATTGGGAATGCGGGATTTTTTTAGATGAGGTCCACTGCCAGTGTACGGCTCCGCATATTTAGATTCAGCCTTTACGCATCGCTAGGCTCCACGTGCCGTTCCATAAAATTTTCGGCAGGGAAATTATTATCCCGTTAACTGCAAAAGCTAGAACGCTGAAATTTTGGCGTGGCACTCCCTGCCCACTTACGGCTCCGCAAATTCGCAACGTCCCTGTGGAAGAATTGGCGAGAAAAATCATTATCTGAAGAGCTAGGAGTCTGAAAATTTCAGAGGATGTTTCCGGCCTAAGCAAGATATTTATAACCTTGAATTCAGTTCCAAAGTATGCCGAGGTCTCGTGTGGAAGTTTTTTCACAGTAATCAGTCGGAAGCAAGAAAATTAGGAGGTTGAAATTTTTTGAAGGATATTCACCCATCAAGGCTTCACGTACCGATGCGTGAAATTCCTGGTGGGAAATTCCGTAATTTAGGGACCATACAACATTTCAGCTATACTTATATAGACTAATGAGCCAAGCAGTGAAAATCCTTAGCAGGCAAACGTTCGCTGGACGAAACTGCACAAAACGCATGACTGCACCAGTTGGCCCTGGTGCGCGTCGCTATTTATTTTTTCATAAGCCTGGGTTTCACAGTTTCCTTAAAATCTGTTTAGAATTCCCCAAGAAATGTTTTTAAGTTTAGGCGTGGGCGTAAACCTGGGGCGAGCAAAACAGCGGTTGCGAAAGAAGATTCGGAGCGTGACAGCAGTGCAACAGCAGCTGAGGTAGCAGCCACAGTGGCGCAGGGACGTCTTGAAACAGTAATTGCATCTGTAAGCAGTAGTTCGGATGATCAACAACAGTCATCTACTGCTCTCACTACTGCTGTTAACGACATCGGAGAGACAAAAGTAGTGACGTCGCTGACGGCACAGGACCATATCAGTAGCTTACAGCCAATATCATTTCACAGCACAGCTGCCAATAAGTCCGACGGTGAGCTTTGCTTTTTTTACCGAATTAGGTGCGACAAAAGAAGCGCTTTTTGCCCGCGATGACTGGAAGCAACGTCTTCGCTTATCTGTCTGATGAACTACATAATTAACTGTATAGGCCCAGCGCTTTTTGCCTTCTCATTAATTGCTAACTTTTCGCACATACCTCCCCGGGAAGTCAAGTTTGTTGCATGGCATAGTTACATGCATTACTTATATGCAGTGGAATGAGCGGTACTCGCGAAGTCGGGATAGTTTCTCTGACTTTTGGAGAGTATGACGAGTTCTTCTAGGTGAGTAGACTTATCATAGCTGAGCTGGGATCTGGACGTCTTTAACCGCCCCCAGGTGTCGGTAGAGGGGAGTCAAATATTGGTTCCAGTAAAAAGAAGCATCTGAGGAGTTGCTTTATCGGCGTACCCACCCAGTCCTGAATGGTGTCGATGCTTTTTTGAAGCAGCTTTCTGAACATAAAAAAGTGGTCATTCGAGGTGCGCTGTCTTGCACAGCTGTTGCCTGCAGATGATCGATGGATAGACGTGTTCTTGCGTCAGTGCTGGCTCGTCGAAAGAGAAATGAAATCTTACTGATATCAGTAGAAAATGTCTTTTGGCGCCCAAAGCAGTGCGGCGACCTTCTCAACCGCTTGATTTCGGACTAAAAATGTGCGTGCGTCAGTGTTAGGTGTGTCACTTGTGCTTATGCTGTAGAGGTTAATCCGGCAGTGCTTTGGTAAGACTCCTTGGAAAACTAATCCAGAATTGGTTTGACGGTGCACAGTGAACACTTTGCTGGCTGTGCGGTGCCACAGAACATCACTACACCATCAGCGTTACTTTGATTAGATTTGGTGACAGTAATGAAGGCAGGATTTTGCGTTTGTGGATGAAAATTTTAAATGATAGTTAATGGGCAAAGTCAAAACCCGCTCCAGCTTCAAGCTCTGTAGAAGGTAAGGGCACTCGGAAGTAGTCTGATCGGCAGCACATTGCCAGTAACAGCCGCCCATTAGCTAGGCTTTTGAAAGCTCTTTTCCAGTGGATTGTTTGAAAACAATCTGATCCCTGGCTTGTGCCAGTGAATCGGCAATTCATAGAACGATTGATTTTTCCGTTTCTGGAATCAAAACGTGGGTTTTGGGCCTGAAAGTGGGTCTGCTTCCACTACAGCATTCCCTCCAGTATTCAAGGTGTAATAGAACTAAATTGTATCATTTCGTCAACTAAAAGATTACAGTTGAGATAAATTTAATTTTTCTGTACATATTAGTGTATATAACTTGAAGTCGAGCGGGCTTTTAGTCGTGTGCTGCGCATCTCTCGGTTGGGGAAGTTGCTCTGTAAATTTGGCGTCCCGGATCAAAATATTGGACTGGTACAAAAGTGGCTGCAGTTTCTGCATTGTTAAAATT